GGGTAACTTCCTGGTCTTTATAAATCTGACTCTTCTTTATCTACCTGATAATGAGTCAAACTAATCTAGAGGAACATCTGATTCTCTGCAGTCTGTTAGCTGCTGTAACAACTCATTCAGACATTCCCCTTTGACATCACTTCCTGTTTCTGCTCATGCCAATATCTCAACTGTTCATTTCAGTGTCATTAATGTTATTTTTCCAAATATGCACTCAATATGTGATCCATGACGTGATGTAAATGTAACATTTTCTACATATAGGTCAAATTAATCACTGCAATAAAATACCCTGTTTTTGTCACTTTTACYGTGGATTGCATCAACTCTGTTATATTACAGAAGTGAAACATAAATCTGTGGATCTGAGTTTGATTACTCTGCCTGGSTTTCTCAAGGACCAGGATGTGACACAAACATCTGAATTTTGGAACTGAAAGTGAAACTAGTCAAACTGAATTTTTAATAAACCAAAATACAGTTTCAAAGCAAATTAATTCAGATACAAAACTTTAAATTCAGTTTCAATTTAGTAAAATTCATTTTCAAACCAATGCATTCAATTGCAAATTATGCACATTCAGATTCAATCTGAGCAATTCAAATTCAATTCCTGCTGGCACAAGATTTATCCCACAGTTATAAACAGATTTTATGTTCATCCCTAATCTCCCACAAGTAAGATATTATTGCTCATAATGTTTCTATAGAACCCCACTAAAGGTGTGAGGTACAGCTCTGACAGCGTGTCCTGCAGCTGAGCKGAGGCAGGATGAATTGTGGGTAATGCAGCTGTGTGGAGAAGGGGTGGACTGACCAGGCGAGGCAGCAGCAGGTAGCTGCAGAGCGTGAGGAGCGTTCCCACGCAGGGTGTGATGAAGTAACCCAGAGCTGCAGACTCAAAGTCCACYTCACCTGCAGCACAAACACATGGTTATACAAACTCTACATTCACTCTGTGTCCTGTCACTAATATGAGTTAACGTGTGAGGCTCACTGGCTGTGGAGAGGAGCATGGCGATGGCAGCGAAGGTCCCTGCCAGCCCCTGACCGCTCATGAAGATGGAGCTGTACTTCTGAGGKAGCAGACCCACCAGACCGAACGAACTGCCCTGCAGCACGGCCACGAAAGCTGCCGGAGGAGGACGCCGTTATCACCCGGGCCTCTGACTTTCATCTCATCTCACTGAACACRGAGTCAAACTGACTTACAGTTGATGAACCAGATGGTGGCCATGGTGACAGAAAAGAAGGTGTCCTTGCTTGTGGGCACTTTAACCAGCACTGCTGTGAGGATGAAGAGCAGGAGGATGAAGACCAGGCTGCCGGCCATACGCACCGCCTCTGATATCCTGAAACACAACCAATCAGCACGGACACAAACATCCTGAAGGAAACAAGCGAGTCTTTACTGTGAAGCTGAGGTCCACTGACTGAACACGGCAGGTCTGGGTCAGAACCAGCTCTTAGCTGGGTCACTGACCTRTGGTACAGGAAGGAGTTGAGCAGGGTGAAGAGCAGCAGGGGCAGCTGGGACAGTAAGGTCATCCAGTTGTTGAAGTAGTACTCTTTGTGGACCGGCCCCGTGATGTTTCCTGTCCTGTTGAACAACTCTGTCTGGGAGTTATTGAGGCGCTCTTGGAAGTACTARGAAAGCAAACAGAAGGTAGTTTTACACAGTTAAACTGGTACAGTTACATAACGAGCAGTAAGCTGATGTCCCCCATCACTGAGAGATCTGAGTACGAATGTTTGAGGTTTTCAATAAGAGTGGAATTAAACAGAAAAAAAACCCAGTGAAGTAGGGGTGCACTGATCTATCAGCACCAATTTCCTTAATTTTGAGATTGGCCGATACTTGGTGTCTGTTCTCTACATGTTTATTGTTATTATTTCTATCATGTTTTTTCTTTGTCTCTTCCAGAAGAAGGTGCACCTGGACCAGTCCTGGAC